ATTGTTAACATATCATTAAAAAGTAAATAAACATGAATAGCATCTGATCATTGTACAATGGTGAATTCTTGATACTGATCATATATATATAGGATGAAATTCAATCCCAAACATAATTATAAATTGAAAATTACTGATAGTTTTCTACCCCCATGTTGTGTTGACTTGCTGCCGAGCTGCGTATCATGCGCCACAACGGCCTTCCGTTAAGGCCCCGGTGTGCCAGGTACGTCTACTTAGGTTTACTTAGAAATACCTAGATGATGAACTTACTGTAAATATACATTACCAAGATGATATAAGATATACTTAGATAATTATACTAATTAGATATACTTAGAAGATTTACTTAGATATACTTAGATATACGTCAACATTCCTAGACTTGGATAAAGTAGGTAAGTTCCTTTTGTAACTACGCGAAACAGGAAAGACGCTACATTTATTTGCGGTTGGATGGGTTGTTTAACCTCTCAGACTGGTTGTAAGGAACATTCAAAGGACAACCTGATGTTTGGTTAAAACATGTTAAAACTATGATCCAAGGTTTTCTGATGGAGCCCAAGATGTGCTTTTATTCACTGATCTTATATCAATCAATTTGCAGGTATAGAATGGTTTGGCCATTGAATGTGTGCAAATGTTTCCTACAATGACCTTTACATGTGGACGACGATGACATAATATTAAATAATATTAAATATACTTACAGTAATCGTAAGCAACCATACAATACCAAACATCTGAACCTGACATCTTTGGAAACTCTGTCGTAGAAGTCCGTATTGGAACCTTGCAAATCACCTCTGGGCATCACTGGTCATCTGACCTAGCTGCATGGTAGGACCACCATGTCACCATGTCTAATGGATCAATCATCTACAGCCATTTCCCATAGCTATGGTGGTATAAACATGCTTGGGCTGCTTGGGGTACCATTGATTACTGTAATATGCGTGTCCCGTCCCATTTTTCACCAACGCCGCTTTTGAACATCATTCTATCAAGAGGTTGGATGGTTACCCTCCGGTCATCTACCCTTTCAATGACAAATTCAGCATCTGTAGACCTATGGTTCCAATTCGACATGGCGGCTTTTTGTTGCCGGCTTATAATTTTAAAGGGCAGGGCAACAAGGTACTCAAACAAACAAGACCTGAAGTCTTTACATTGCTTTACATGTTTATCCGCGCTTGCTGACAAAAAGGGCCCCTCCAAAATCCATCAAAATCCCAGGTTTACCTTTGAACATAGACATTTTGGGGGTAGACCTCGATACCCCATCGAAGGACACACGCCCGCATTCATCGCCTTGGATTCCTCCTCCAGATCGCCGGCATCTATGGCTGCCATAGTGGAGTGCTTGCGACCAAACTGCTGGCTGCTGAAGATGTTGAAACATCTACCCTACCTAAACTACCCCCCCCCTCCCCCCCTCCTCAAAATAATTTCCAAAATTATTTTCAGGGGGTTGATAGTGTCTTCGGTTGTTATACGAAACAACCCTCTTTAGGGTAAAATAATTTCTTACGATAGACCCCCCCCCTCCCCTTCATCGACGGTGGTGAACCTTCGTAAAAATTATTTCAACCCCTGGGGGGTTAATTATTTTGCCCCCCTCCGGAGACTCCAATCTTTACATATGTATACTTTGGGACCCCCCCCCTACCCGACATGATCGCCTTCGCAGGTGTACCGGGGATATTCCATCCCTTCAAGAAAAACGCGGGGGTATCAACCAGGTTTTGGAATATGTTTAAAGAAAACATGTTGTTGAATAATTTTCCTAAGCAGTGGGCCTACGGATGTGCATATTGGAATATGCGAATTATAATCTAAGCCTTCAAATATACCCTGGAATAACTATGTTTTGACATAACTTCATCTAAATTTTAAATGGTTGAACAAAAAAAGATTTAAAAAAAACACTTGGGGATTCCCGCAAAATGATGTTCAACCATCATCTTCATCACTGGTTCTTTCCTACATATTTCCATTTTTTTCATACTTCCCCACATTTCTCTCACATTCCCTTCATTTCCTTCCAAAGAACACTCGGTGGGAATGACTGTGAAAGGGAAAGCATTCGGTGTTTATTTTTTTTTTCAGCTGGCAGCTGCTCACTTTGATTTTTGAGGAGTGCAGAGTATCTCCAATACCCCTAGAATAATTTCTTCCCTTGGGAAATCCCACGGAATGGTATTCAACCTGGCCCTTTCCTGTAGTGACACTGTAGTGATTTTCCTAACCTGTCATATTTCCCATTATTTCTCCCATATTCCCTTCATTTCCCTCCAAAGAACTCATTTTTGGGAAGCGTTCGGTTTTGATAGGTTTTTCATTTGTTTCCAGTATATGGACGAGTTTGATGGTTCTGGCAGCTGCTCACTTTGATTTTTGAGGAGTGCAGGGTATCTCCAATACCCCTAAAATAATTTCTCCGCTTGGGAAATCCCACAAAATAGTATTCCTTTCCTGTAGTGATTTTCCTAACCTGTCATATTTCCTCTTATTTCTCCCATATTCCCTTCATTTCCCTCCAAAGAACTCTTTTTTGGGAAGCGTTCGGATTTTATAGATTGTTCAATTGTTTCCAGTTTATGGGCGAGTGGGATGGTTCTGGCAGCTGCTCACTTTGAATTTTGGGAAGTGCAAGGCATCTCCAATACCCCTAGAATAATTTCTCCTCTTGGGAAATCGCACAAAATGGTATTCAACTTAGCTCTTTGCTATAGTGGTTTTTCTAGCCTTTCATGTTTTTCCCTCTTTCTCCCATATTTCCTTCATTTCCCTCCAAAGTTGGGAAGCGTTCGGTTTTGATAGGTGTTTCATTTTTTTTCCAGTTTCTGGGCGAGTTGGATGGTTCTGGCAGCTGCTCACTTTGGTTTTTGAGGAGTGCAGGGTATCTCCAATACCCCTAGAATAATTTTTCCCCGTGGGAAATACCACAAAATAGTATTCAACCTGGCCCTTTCCTGTAGTGATTTTCCTAACCTGTCATATTTCCCATTTTTCTCCAATATTCCCTTCATTTCCCTCCAACGAACTCTTTTTTGGGAAGCGTTCGGTTTTGATAGGTTTTTCATTTGTTTCCAGTATATGGGCGAGTTGGATGGTTCTGGCAGCTTCCCACATTGATTTTTGAGGAACGCAGGGCATCTCCAAGATCCTTTGAATAATTTCTTAAAGAACGAGTTTGGTTTCGAGTTGCAAGTTTTGATGCGTTCTTGCTGCAACTTAAGATTGAGGGGGGATTCTGACATGACTACCAGGGAGCACACATGAAACATGATGTTGAATTTATTTGCGTTGTAGGATTCGCAACGCATCAATCCTAAAAAAACAAAAAACCTAAAACATAATAAGCCACTTTTGCAAGCCCAACATTGCGCAAGATGGGATATCGCATTGTTCTACATCGTTTCCTCCGAAAGTTACAACACTGCCATCACTGCGAAGAAGTGCTGTGTGAACACAGCCTGCAGAAACTTGAGTGTACGACCAAAGGTGGAATATGTCATCGGATCAAAACAAGGTCAAACACCAAAATTATTTTGAAATATTTTTTTGCTGTGAGAGTGTTTTCGTCAAAATTATTTTGAGGGGGGGTAACCCATCAAAATAATTTCCAACCAGAAATTATTTTGGCAATGGTTAGAGTCTATAAATCTATACATCCAACATGTTAGATTTTTGAAATTATTTTCAAAAAAATATTTTGGAGGGTAACCCCCCCCCTGAAATAATTTCATTAAGGTAGGAGGGATGTTGAAACATGTTGAAACATGCCCGCGAAAGTTACCCAGAAGTTACCTGATCACTTGATATCACTTGCTGCCTCAAAATGTTTGGTCTGTGTTTGGGCTTGGAGAATCTTGGAGGTCTGGCTCCGTGCTGATCCCACAATGGCATGGAACCATGGAAACCCGCCCAAAGAAAACCTGGTCAGTTGGGAGAGCATACAGATGAATATAAAGCATCATCATCATTATACACCCAAAAAATAGAGCAAAACATCAAACCGATGAGTTCAGTACACCTAGCTCTTTGGATTTCGAATCACATCCTCCTTGACACATGCAGCCACTGTGGTAAATTGCCCTGAGCCGACAAAACGCCAGGCCGGCAGGGGAATCGTACGCATGGGTGGGAGCCCGGTGGCTCCCAAATGACCTGCAGACTTTTTTTCCCCAAATGCCAGGTCCGAATTTGTTTTTGGGTCCTCTGGATGGTTCCGGAAGATTTTTGTTTTCAGGTGCTTGGTCTGCTTGGTGGTTCGCCCCACTTAGTGGGTTGGTTCATCCTTGTTTCAAGATGTTTCAAGTGGGGCAAGTAGGTTAGCCCAGCTATAAACTGGATAGAACGCAGAGGTCCTAACCAGGATGAGCCACTTCCGTGATGTGCTCCTGTCGTTCACCAGCCTGGCAGCTCTCTCGTCCTCCAAGCCTAGGGTGACATTTGTTTGCCGGGGATGTGAGGAATGGATTCAAACCATAACATGACGATCTGATATTATCTGATATAGCATGATATAGCAAGTGATGCAAGTGCGGGAGAGTCAGGCACAAATAAGGACATTGTTCTTATCTCTTCTGAAAGCATGAATCCATCCCAATCCGGAAGTGGGCAAACCTCTTGATCCCTTAATCACATCCAACGTGGCAGTGGAAAAGCCCTGTTGTTCAATGGGAGAATCATCAATGTCAATGGATCAAGATGGTGGACTGCCCATTGATGAGATAGCTGGTGGATAGCAAACAGACCTACCTTCGCAGTCCTTTCCCATTTTCGATCTTCCCTGCCGCTTTTTTTCGGATCGTTTTTCGAGTTCCAGCTAGCAGCCAGAGCTGGGACTGGATGGTCTTTTGTGCTTTGAGGCACCTTTTGGCACCCTGGACCTAGGCCCTAGCAAATAGGAATAATGGAGCTATCTTCACATCCACATCTGGGATGTGTCCGGAAGTCCGGCAAAATTGTGGGGTTTTCATGGGTTTCCTCCCTCACTCCGACTCCGCCTCGTCGTCATCATCGTCGTCCTCCTTGCTGTCTGCCGCCTTCTTGGCTTCTTCTGCCTTGGCGTCATCCTCCTGAAGGGCAAAGATGTGGCAGGTTAATTTGTGTTTTTTTCTGCAGCAACCTGGTGTGATCCACGACCAAGGGCCTTCTGCTAGTAGCACGATAAATAGGAGACCCATGGAGACCCCGATGAGCACCTGAAAATCATCTTACATGTAACGGTACTTCTATCGTATATAGCCTGGTACATGTGTGATCCCGCAGCTGGATGGCATACCATCAGGCTGGGTCAAGGAGATACCTGTAAGCTTGGGGAGCAGCACATCCTCTTCCTCCCAAACAATCGACTTGAAGTGGAACATCTCTGAGCTAAGTGCTCCATGTATGCTGTATATTTGTCTCCATTTGGGTGATGCTTGGGGTATATAAATGTTGACAATTTTTGATAAATATTCCTTACATGGAGCAAAGGAATTTGGAAAAACAGTTCATCTAGTGGAGTCGTTCTCCACCTCGTTACTTACCTTGTGGTATATCAAGATGGCAATAAAAAAAAAGGGATCATCTGTAGATGGTACCAACCCAATTGCCATGAGGGTAGATGATGATCTTTAAACAAATACCCTCTGGTAATCAAATATGGTTTTCGGCACATATATATATATAATATCTGGGTAAATTATAATATTTCACTAACCTGAATTAAGGCCATTTGGGGATGATTTCCCTTACTAACCATGATTTCCAGTGAGGTCGTAGTGAGGTTGTTATAATTTACCCAGATATATATATATATATACAAATATATAATATCGAAATACATTTAAAGATGAATTTCCCAGCCATAAACCTCCATTGAGTTCAGGCATTTCTCATTAAACATCCCTGACTAAGTCATCATTTTTCGTACGTAACGCCCCTCGAATCACCATTCTTCATGGGATTTCCCAGCTACGTTTGACACCGAAGGCGTCGCCTCCTTCTTTTTTTCCTTCTCGACCTCGCTGAGTGCCTTCCACTTCGCCACGAACTTGTCGGCCTCCGCCACGTCATCTGTGATGATCACTTGAATCTGAAAAAAGGGGCAAGAAAAATCTGACCTGGCTATGAGATCCATCAATGGAGGAAAACATAGGGAAAAATAGGAACAAAATGGAACAACATTTCTCCATGTTTGGACTTTGATAGCCTGGATTCTTGCCCGCTTCCATGATTTCGGTGCGTTTGAGAAAAAACTGTCTGAATTGGCATGCCCTGCCCATTATGGCATGCCCTGGCAGGAATTGCTGTGTGCGCCCGTTTGATGGTTTTTGCCTGTGTTTGAGATGTTTTGCGCCTGTCTTGCGCACAAATTTCAGCAAAAAGAAGTACACATCACCAAGAATGTGTACAACAAGCATTTGTACCCACAATTTTGGGTACGAATGAAGGTCCAGGCACATTGTCAAAAATGGTGTTGCCCTTCACCTGCGCAGCAAAACTCATGAGGATAGTGGGGATAATTTCACATAATTGGTCGATTGGGTTCCCTGCTGCTAAGAAGTCTAACTTCTAGTGATCATGTATAAGTGACCATTCTCCACAAACAAGGGGGGGCCTGAGAACCCAAAAGCAAAACGACAGCAAACAAATTTGAATAATACTGATAATTGGTTTATTTCTTTTTCGCCTCTTGTCAGCTTCTTTTTAGAAGATGAACATTATGGACGCATTCACTGCAAATTTCATTTTTCCCCACCTGCCAGGTGAGGGTTGTTAAATTCTATCAGAGTTGTTCTCCTCGGCTAGCTGTCCTCCTCATCCTCGTCCTCCTCCTCCTCGTCCTCCGCCTTCTCCTCCTCCTCTGCCTCCTCCTCCAGTTTCTCCTCGATCATGTTTGCATCAACTTCCACCTCACCTTCCGCCTTGCCAACTCTTCGCCAAGCTCTTTGCCAACTTCCCAGCTCAGTGTGCACCGCTGGACCTCAACCTGGCACCTTCCCAGCTCAGTGTGCACCGCTGGACCTCAACCTGGGACCTTCCCAGCTCAGTGTGCACTGCTAGACCTCAACGGCCAGATAGAATACCAGAAGATATGCCAGATAGAGTGTTAGAAGATATGTCAGATAGAATGCCAGAAGATATGCCAGAACATATTGCAGAAGATATGCCAGGTAGAATGCCAGAAGATATGCCAGAACATATGCCAGAAGATATGCCACATAGAATGCCAGAAGATATGCTAGATAAAATACCAGAAGATATGTCAGATAGAATGCCAGAAGATTTGCCAGTAACAAAACATATAAATGTCATGGTGGGGATAACTCGAAGTAAAGAAATTTCAGCTCTGCGCGGAAATATTGAGTGACAGTGTGCAATAGCCAAGCAAGCTCATTTGAGCACGGTCATGCGACGGCGGCTGCTTTCCAAATCAACCTCTCCTTTCCTTTCCCTTCCTTTCCTTCCTTTCCCTTCCTTTCCTTCCTTTCCCGTCCTTTCCCTTCCTTTCCCTTCCTTTTCCGTCCTTTCCCTTCCTTTTCTTTCCCTTCCTTTCCCTTTCTTTCCGTTCCTTCCCGTTGCCCAACCGTCCGCAACCCCTCGCAACCGTCCGCGCGATTGCTATATGGCCGTGCCTCTGGTAAGTTCTCCAGAAGGGGTAATTTTTGCGTTTCACGTGGCAGGCGTGGTACTTCGTAACATTCAGACGTGTTTTGTAACGTGTCGAAAGTCATTTTGTGTGGCAAGCGCACTACTTTTACGACGTTTTCAGAAGATGCGTTGCAGTTTTCGTGGCAGGTGCAGCACCTTGGACGTGTCCATCGTTATTTTGCGTGGCAGGCGCAGCGCTGTAGACGCGTCGTGTTGCGTGTTTTTACGAATCGCATTGGCAGGGCTGCGTCAAGTGGCAGACTCCGTGGCAGACGTGATTTTGTGAGATGTGCTGAAAATTAACGGAAGCCTCCCACGAATTATCGATTTTGAGGTAGCAAATTTAAAGGCTCGTACGAAAAATCGTAGGAAAACGTCAATTTTGAAGCTACAAAGTGTAAAAATTGGAGGAAGCCTCGCACGAAAGGCTCGTTTTGATGCTCCCACATCTCTCGTCTCAAGTGTCTGGCTTTCCTGTGGCGTCGCCGTGTCTATGGGGGAAGCTGCAAAATCTCTCCTTTTCGAAGGTTTCCAAGCAGGTTGTCATGTCGTTTTGTGTGGCAGGGGTGGAACTTTACACTCTACACTCCGCACTCTACACTCGACACTGCACACTCTACACTCCACCACACTCTACACTTTGCACACTCCTCACTCCACACTTTAAATTAAAACTCTACACGCCACACTCCACACTCGACACTTTCCACTCCACACTCTACACTCCACACTATACACTCCACACTCCTCACTCCACAATTTACACTTTACACTCCTCACTCCACACTCTACACTTTGCACTTTCCACTCCCCCTTCACACTCTACACTCTACACTCCACAATTTACACTTTGGACTCCACACTTTAAACTTTGCACTCCACACTTTACACTCCTACACACTCCACACTCTACACCCCACACTCCACCACACTCCACACTCTACACCCCACACTCCACCACACTCCACCACACTCCGCACTTTACACTCTACACTCCACAAACTACACTTTCCACTCCACACTCCACACTCCACACTTTACACGCCGCACTCCTCACTCCACAATTTACACTTTACACTCGTTTTGCTGTCGTTTTGCTTTTGGGTTCTCAGGCCCCCCCCTTGCCAGCATCTAAGGTTTTGCAGCCGATAGGGGGTCTTTGGAATTTGATTCTAGGTCCTTGGTGATTTAGTTCTACCTCTTTTTGTGTGATATATGTTATCCATTATTTATTGCTTTATCTATCTTCTCTATCAAGGTAGGTGGCCTTGGTATATACTAGTGAAAATTATCCCAAAGGAAAGATCGTCTTGGGTTAGTGTCCCTTGGATGTTTCAATATTATTAATTCTTATCCGTTATTCGGTAGTCATGCCAAAACGGGGTTGATGATTAGCCTCTCCATCCATTTACTGTTCTTTTCGTGGAAGTGCCAGTCAGAACAAACGATCACCATTCGATCGTAGTTCAGATAGTTTTTTTTTTGGTTGGGTACTTTGATAAAATATGAAATATATTTTATCTGTACATATCAATATATGCAGCCGATGGGGGATCTTTGGAATTTGATTCTAGGGTCCTTGGTGCTTTAGTTCTACCTCTTTTTGTGTGATATATGTTTTCCATTATTTATTTCTTTATCTATCTTATCTATCAACTCCTCACTCCGCACTTTACATGTTACACTCCTCGCTCCGCACTTTACACTCCTCACTCCACACTCCACACGCTACACTTTACACTCCACACTTCCCACTTTACACTCCACACTCTACAATTTACACTCCGCACTCCACACTTTACACTCCACACTCCTCACTTTACACTCCGCACTCCACACTCTACAGTTTCCACTCCACACACTACACTTTACACCACACTCCTCACTCCTCACTCCACACTCTACACTTTACACTCCACACTTTACAGTTTGCACTTTACACTCCTCACTCCACACTTTACACTCTACACTTTCCACTCTACACTCCACACTTTACACTCCACGCTTTCCACTCCACGCTTTACACTCCACACTTTACACTCCACACTTTTACACTCCACACTCCACAGTCTACACTTTACACTCCACACTCCACAATCCACACTCTACACTCCACACTTTACCCACTGCGCACTCCACACTCTACATTTTACACTCCTCACTCCACACTTTACAATCCACACTTCCCACTTTACACTCCACACTCTACACTTTACACTCCACACTCCACACTTTACACTCCACACTCCGCACTCTACACTTTACACTCTACACTCCACACTCTACACTTTTCACTCCACACTGCAGACTGTCAACAAGGGAAATATGTATATACAAGACTGTTCAACAAAACTATTGCAGAAAAGTGTTCTGCGTGACTGCATATCCATGCGTTTCGACATCATCACCATTAACATACGTGTGAGCATTCGGGTTCGTGGGCTGCATCTTGTTCTTTCCCTTTCTTTCCCTTTCTTTCCCTTTCTTTCCCTTCCTTTCCCGTCCTTTCCCTTCCTTTCCCTTCCTTTCCCTTCCTGTCCCTTCCTGTCCCTTCCTTTCCCTTCCTGTCCCTTCCTGTCCCTTCCTGTCCCTTTCTTTCCCTTCCGTTTCCTTCCTTTTCCTTCCTTTCCCTTCACCCACACCGTCCGCACACCACGGTTCAAAGCAGCTCGCTCCTCACGCGGTTAACCAACTAAACGAGAACCCAAGCATCGAAGATGCTTTTGGGAAAGCAACGCCATTTAATAACTAGGTACAAAAAATGCACACGCCAAGCAAGAACCCAAACTAGACGACGGATGGCCCGAGAGCGTAGAGGAGCAGAGTCTTCTGTTGTTAGTATGGAGACACGCTTTTTACACACAGGCTCTTTTACACACAGACGCTTTGACACACAGACGCTTTTACACACAGACGCTTTTTACACGCAGGCGCTTTTACACACAGAAGCTTTTACACACAGACGCTTTTACACACAGACCCTTTTACACACAGACGCTTTTACACACAGACGCTTTTACACACAGACGCTTTTTACACACAGGCTCTTTTACACACAGAGACTTTTACACACAGAGGCTTTGACACGCAGAGACTTTGACACACAGACGCTTTTACACACAGACGCTTTTACACACAGACGCTTTTACACAAACACTTTCACACGCAGAGACTGTTACAGACAGACGCTTTGACACACAGACGCTTTGACACACAGACGCTTTGACACACAGACGTTTTTACACACAGACGTTTTTACACACAGACGCTTTTACACACAGAGACTTTTACACACAGAGACGCTTTTACACACAGACGCTTTTACACACGGACACTTTTACACACAGACGCTTGCTTTTACACACAGACGCTTTTACACACAGACGCTTTTTACACACAGGGGCTTTTACACACAGAAGCTTTTTACACACAGACGCTTTTTACACACAGACGCTTTGACACACAAACACATTTACACACAGACCCTTTTACACACAGACGCTTTTACACACAGACGCTTTTACACACAGACGCTTTTTACACACAGAGACTTTTACACACACAGAAGCTTTTACACACAGAAGCTTTTACACACAGACGCTTTTACACACACACACAGCTTTTACACACAGACTCTTTTACACACAGAAGCTTTTACACACAGACGCTTTTACACACAGACGCTTTTACACACAGACGCTTTTTTACACACAGACGCTTTTTACACACAGACGCTTTGACACACAAACACATTTACACACAGACCCTTTTACACACAGACGCTTTTACACACAGACGCTTTTTTACACACAGAGACTTTTACACACACAGACGCT